CATTAGCTGGGCTACTCTGGCAATTGGGATACCATACAAAAATATAAATTTACAACACCACTCCTTTTCCTAACACAGAGTAATTACTATTCTACAAACTGTACAATAATCCATCCATAAGCATTACTAATGTCAGTATAATGTACTTCACAAATCCAGTGACATAAATAGAAATTGAACAGTCCTAAGGACAGGTTTCAGAGAAGTAGCTGTGTTAGTCTGTTTCAGAGAAAACAACAAGGAGTCCAGTGGCACTTTAAAACTAGGGTATTAGAGTATAAGTTTTTATGAGCTACAACTCACTTCTTCTGATGCTAAAGGGAGAAAGAAAGAAAAAAAACAGTGTGTGACAACAGTGCTAATTAAATCAGAATGAATGTGGCTCATCTCCAATAGTGGTGAGAGAGTACCTGTATGGGAAATTACCTATAATAATGTGAGAACTATTCCGTGTGTTTATTTAGACCTTGCTTTAGGGTGTGAAATTTGCATATGAACTCCTGCTCGGCAGTTTCTTTCTGCAGTCTGCTTTTGAAGTTTCTCTGTCTGAGAATGACAACTTTCAAGTCCAAAACTGCATGCCAGGGAAGTTAAATGCTTCACTACTGGCTTTTGGATGTAGCCATTTGTGTCCATTTATTCTTTTGCATAGAGACAGTCCGGTTTGTCTTATGTACATGACAGAGGAGCATCGTTGGCATATGATGGCATATATTACACTAAATGTGCATGTGAATGAGCTTTCCATGGTATATCTGATGTGGTTAGATCCTTTGATGGTTTCAGTAGGGTAGATGTGTAGACAGATTTGGCAATGGGGTTATTGCAGGGATTGGGTCCTGGATTAGTGTTTTTGCTGTGGGGTGTGCAGTTGGTAGTGACAGGACAAAGTCACCTAAACTGAAACAACCCACGCTAGGGAGTATGGAATTATTCCTTGGGAACACTGCCATTACACTGGTGCAAAAGTTAAGATTATTGTTGGTTGTACTTTTTATTTCCTATTATATGAGAATCTGAATTGGGTATGATTTATTCTTAGCAATTATTGATGATTTTCAATAACCTCTTTTTGTATTTGAATTATATATTGTGTTTGAAAAATAATATAAGTTATAAGGAGAAGTCATATTTTAAGTATGTGTAGATAGATAGATAAAATATAAATATTTAGGGTGTATACACTTACTCAGAAGATGGGCACCACCTGTAGATCCCTGCACACCATATGCCAAAAATGAAACATCAGTGCTTTGGAATCCCAGGCTACATCTACATTGCAACACTATTTCAAAATAACTAGTGCTATTCCGAAATAACTTAGTCCGGGTCTACACTGAAGGCAGTTATTTTGAAATAGTGTCAAAATACTGTCAAGCTGGAGGACTTCTTACTCCGAGTCCTATAATCCTGATTGTATGCGGAATAAGGGAAGTCAGAGGAAGAGTGCTCTATTTTGAAATAAGTGTTGTGTAGACATTCCCTATTTCAAAATAAGCTATATCAAAATAAGATGCGCAATTGACGTAGCTCAATTTTCATAGCTTATTTCGAGTTAAGCCATGCGGTGTAGACTCACCCTCAGTTTCCTAGCAAAATGTCAAGAGGTAGGTCACTGACACAACACCCAGGTCTTCCCGCCCAAAAGACAGACTTTGTCACTTTTGTGGTGATTTCCTATTTCTCCAGCATGGGGTAATTTAATACCCTTGTCTGTATGCTAGTGGTGAAATCTTGGTTCCACTGACATCAAAGGGAACTTTTATTGATTTCCCCTCAGGTCCTCACTGTTATGAAGACTTCATCAGCAGGTCCCTGCTCTCTCAATACTCCTACAACTCTCTCTCTCTCCCTCTTTCTCTGTATAGAATCAATAAATCTTCTTTATATCTTTCAAGCCAGAATGAGGATCCCCCAAAATGGTGTTGGCTTATGAATGAAATCTGTAAATGCTGGAGTTTTGGGAATAGTTCTGATTGCATTTTCTTTTTCTTTTTTTAATTATAATCCTTAGGAATTTGTCCCAAGTCATTATAATACATTGATGGTTTTCAGAAGGATGTTCATTTTTTAAAAAACAGTCTGAGAAAATCACTTCCTTTGGGACCAAACTCCACAGACAGCCAAATTTAGCTAGATCCAAAGATTTTTCCTCTCAGGCCATTGACTTAAATATGATCAAAATTTAAATAGCCAAAAATTATGAGTCACCAACAGGTCAGATTCAGCCTTATCACTTACTGCTTTTAAGATATCGCTTGTTTATTTTCATCCATAAAAGTTTCATCTGAAGAAATGGATTGTGCTCTTGAAAGCTCATCATGCCACTTACATGTTTTGTTAGAGTTTAAGGTGCTGCTAAACTATTCATTGATTTTTTAAAAGTTTTTCCAGTTACAGACTAACTCAGCTACCCCTCTGAAGATTTTGTGTATCTGTAATTACCATTCAAAAGAAAATAACATTTCATAGGCTTTTGGGGTGGATACTAATGATCTTTTTTCTCATTTTGTAATTTTCCCAAAAAGTTAGAATTCTGGCATTCTGATCGATGCATTGGGCAAAGCTACTAGACAAAGTTTTTCTGTGAAAACCAACAATTATATTGAAGTACAAGGGGGAAAACTGCATAGGGAACATTTACTATAGTTTATTATGTTAGAGGATTCAGACAACAGATAAAAGCAAGAGGTGTGTTATCTCTTCCTTGTGTATGGTAAATAAAATTGACTCAAAAAGTTTAGTATCAGGACCCACCTGCTACACAGGATTCTACTAGTTAGTTACAGCTGGAACAAAAAAGTACATTTTCTTCTACTTTTTCGTATTTATTAGGAATAGTGATGGCTCAGAAAATATTTTCTTGGAAGGTATTTTTCTTTACTAAGTAGAAATAAACAAGTCTATAATCAATAGACTTGAGGCACTATATTGCTAAATCTCTAACATAGAAAAAAAAGAAAAGGTTTTCTTCCTTAAGTTTATCTTCATTAATTCAATAGAAGTGTTTACGTATAAGCTGGAAAATAAACAGGCAATGCCTCCCTGAAAACTTGTTTCACTTGGACTCAAGATTAATTACATTAAGGGAGTTTGTCTGGCAGTCCTGGAAGAGTCACACATTGCTGAAATGCCCTCATTTCTTCTTTTGTAACAGGGCAAACTTATTCTACAAAATGAAACAGATGGCACTGCGCACATCTTTGGCCTTAAGGGAATAGGGAAGAAACCTCTTGCACTGGATCATATCATGATAGACTGTCAAGTGAGACAAATTACTCAGAAGGTCTTAATGGTGCCTAATTTTACGACGAACAAGTTGACATACAAGGTAAATTTGCAGAATGTTATAATATATGTGTCTTTGTTTAAGACGATACAAGCGATGATGTAAAAATAACATTGTAAGTACATTGTCATCATTCCTATATATTAACTTTCATGCGGCATCATGACTTTTTTCTATATTTTATAGAATTTAGCTTTAATTTTACTATATTTGATGTTTCTATAGTGAGAGATTCATTTTACTTTAGTGCATGATTTATTATACATTTCATGAAGAAGGTTGTAATAGTTTTTTACTATTACATAATTTAATACTTTTGGTTTTTCAACCTTTTCACTCATATGGATTTAGATATTCCTATTTTAATATCTAAAATTAACTGCTGCAATTTTGCAAGTCTTGTATAAGTTTGCTAACATGGGTATCTTGTAAAGGGAGTCTGCATCTAGAACTTAGAAATCTCAGTATTCCAAAACAATGAATACTCAAAGAAATGTAGGTCTTAGTTAAAATGACATCTATGTGTATGTTCATCACAGGCCATTCAATGGGTTTGGGATGAAACCCCCTTTAGTTCCAGTCTCCCTTCTCACTGGTAGACTCTGAAGAGGTGTGGGGAGAATGGGGAGAACCCAGACCCATCCACTACTCCAGGTTCTGGACCAGTGACCCCAAGACAGTGACAACAGGCATGCTCTTAATAGACATGAGGTGTCTGCCTGATTGTGCTGCAGCAGCTCCTTCCCTGGTCACTCTGAGAAAAGAAAATTATTCACCCAATGGCCAGTATATCTACCTTCTATCAGGCTACTATAAGACCTTGTGGGCCAGTTTGTACTTCACCTTGGTCCTGCGGCCTGCTGGGGACATCAGCTGGTGGATCTTGCATGGATCTAAGCACATGGGGCATGGTTCACCCTTATCCCTGATACTGGCTCCTTCTGTGGTGTGAGAGAACACCTGGTGCATGTCTATCTTGAGTACACCAGATTAGTTCCTATTTCATCACTTCCTTTAGCTGTGGGCGAGCTTATGCCCACCCACTTCCTAAATCTTTTTAAAGACACCATAATAGAGGCCCAACTTAAATGTATACCCCAAATTAAAAAACATAGCAAGAGACCTAAAAAAGAGTCACCGTGGCTTAACCACCATGTAAAAGAAGCAGTGAGGGACAAAAAGGTATCTTTTAAGAAGTGGAAGTCCAATCCTAGTGAGATAAATAGAAAGGAACATAAACACTGTCAAATCAAGTGTAAACATGTAATAAGAAAAGCAAAAAAAGATTTTGAGGAACAGCTAGCCAAAAACTCAAAAAGAAATAAAATGTTTTTTAAGTACATTAGAAGCAGGAAGCCTGCTAAAAAACCTGTGGGTCCCCTAGATGATCAAGCTATAAAAGGAGCAATCAAGGACGATAAAGCCATTGCGGAGAAACTAAATGATTTCTTTGCTACAGTCTTCATGGCTGAGGACGTTGGGGAGATTCCTGAATCTGCACCGTCCTTTGTGGGTGATGAATCTGAGGAACTGTCCCGGATTGAAGTGTCATTAGAGGAGGTGTTGGAACAAATAGAAAAACTTAATGTTAACAAATCTCCGGGACCGGATGGCATTCATCCAAGGGTTCTAAAAGAACTCAAATGGGAAATTGCTGAACTATTATCTGTAGTTTGTAACCTATCCTTTAAATCAGCTTCCGTACCTAATGACTGGAAGGTAGCCAACGTGACACCAATATTTAAAAAGGGGCGATCCTGGCAATTACAGACCGGTAAGTCTAACTTCAGTACCGGGCAAATTAGTCGAAACAATAGTAAAGAATAAAATTGTGAAGCATGTAGAAGAACATAATTTGTTGGACAAAAGTCAACATGGTTTCTGTAAAGGGAAATCCTGTCTTACTAATCTATTAGAGTTCTTTGAAGGGGTTAACAAACATGCGGACAAGGGGGATCCAGTAGATATAGTATACTTGGATTTTCAGAAAGCCTTTGACAAGGTCCCTCACCAAAGGCTCTTGTGTAAATTACATGGCCATGGGATAAGAGGGAAGGTCCTTTCTTGGATTGAGAACTGGTTAAAAGACAGGAAACAAAGGGTAGGAATAAATGGTAAATTTTCAGATTGGAGAGGGGTAACTAGTGGTGTACCCCAAGGGTCAGTCCTGGGACCAATCCTTTTCAACTTATTCATAAATGATCTGGAGAAAGGGGTAAGCAGTGAGGTAGTAAAGTTTGCAGATGATACCAAACTGTTTAGGATAGTCAAGACAGAAGCAGACTGTGAGGGACTCCAAAAATTTCTCACCAAGCTGAGTGATTGGGCAACAAAATGGCAAATGAAATTTAATGTGGATAAGTGTAAAGTAATGCACATCGGGAAAAATAACCCCAACTATACGTACAGTATGATGGGGGCTAATTTGGCTACGACAAATCAGGAAAGAGATCTTGGAGTTATCGTGGACAGTTCTCTGAAAACTTCCACACAGTGTGCAGTGGTGGTCAAAAAGGCAAATAGGATGCTAGGAATTATTAGGAAAGGGATAGAAAATAAGACCCAGAATATCTTACTGCCCCTGTATAAAACTATGGTACGCCCACATCTTGAATACTGTGTACAGATGTGGTCTCCTCACCTCAAAAAAGATATTTTGGCCTTGGAAAGGGTTCAGAAAAGGGCAACTAAAATGATGAGGGGTTCGGAACTGGTCCCATATGAGGAGAGGTTAAAGCGACTGGGACTTTTCAGTTTAGAAAAGAGGAGACTGAGGGGGGATATGATAGAGGTCTATAAAATCATGAGTGGTGTGGAGAGGGCCGATAAAGAAAAGTTATTTATTAGTTCCTGTGGGGGTTTCGGGGTGTGATCACCCCCTCTTGGTTCGAGAGGGGGGGTCAGCGAACCCTAGTGCCCCCTCTTAGTGCCTATCGGGCATCCGGGGGGCCCCCGTCAGGGAACCCCCGATGCTGGGTGCGATCACCCACTCCCAGGAGGAAAGGGGGGGTCAGCGAACCCGTCAATAGTTACCCGTCTCTGCGGGGCGGGGCAGCAGACCCCTGGTTCAGAGTTTCCCCTTGTGGGGTTGTGGCTTGTAGTGTCTCTCTGTTCAGGCCGCAGGGAGTGGGGTGTTCCCCTCGTGGAGGGAGGGGGACCCGGTCCCACCCTCTCTCCGGGTCCCAGCCCGGGGCCCTAAGTGGCGGGGCTTCCTAACACCCCGACGCGGTGGACGAGGGAGTTAATCCCTCCGCAACTCGTCCACCCAAGGTCGCCAATCTGTCGCCTTTGAACCTACCCTGGTTCGGTGTCCTGGGGTGTGTCGCTCCCGGATGTGGCCTCTGGGGAGCGCTCTGGGGTGCCGTTCCGCCTCCGGATGTCCCGCTCCCGTTGGGTGCGACGAGGTGGGGTCCGCCCCCCGTCGGCCGAGGGGCTGAGGGACCGCCAAGGGCAGTGGCTGTCCCGAAGACCTCGGGACCAGCGCCGGGCTGGCAGCCGTGGGGTATGCCGCCCGGGCTCCGTCCTGCCTCCGGGTCTGCTCCCCTGCTCCTGCCAGGAGCCTGCCTCCTCCTCCATCGGCGGCCAGCCCTTTTGAGCTGGCCCGCCGTGCCAGCCGCTCCCCCG